CTCCCGACAGGTCCTCTCAGTCTGCTCCTGAGGTTCCTGGGCAAGGGTAGGCTGGATGGGGTGTATGTGTGTGCTGGGTAGGGCTGGGCCAGGCAAACCAGTCTGGCCAGTGAAGCAGAGTCGGCTGGGATGAGGCCCTGGGCGTGGGTGTGAGTCAGCGGGCTAGGGCTGGGGAAGCACTGGGGAGGATGTTACCTGGAGCGACGCCTCGAAACAGGAGGCCTGGGAAGGAAGGCTCAGGTGAGAGTTGGCTCTGGACCCCCAGCTCCACCCCTGGGACTAACAGGTGGGCCATCTAAAGGTCCCTTGGGCCTTGCTTTAATTTAAAGGGGGGGGGGGTGCTGGATTCCCAATCATGACAGTAGCCAGGTCCCACACCCTACCCCAGGAGACAAGCTAGACTTCTTTATCTAGGCTTTTGAAGGCTCAGTGTCTTCACCAGCCCAGTGTAGCCCAAGCGCTTCATGCTGGGGCTGTGGTGGCCCTTCATCTCTAGCAAGCTCCTGGCCAGCAGGGTTCATGGGTAAGCTTGAGGTTCCAGTGGTCAGCTGGGTTGGGATGGTCTATGGCCAGTGAGGGTCTGGGCATTTAGGTTTGGTACACTTGAGATGCAGCTGTTGGCTCTGTGGCCAGTTTGAGTTTCCCGCGACTGAGGGTAAGGTGAAGGGTGGGGGTGGAGGGGCTTTGGTGTCGCCCAGGCAGGACCAGGCATGTCCTTAAGCTGCAGTCTAGCTACTGAGAGCCGCCCCCAGTTTCTCAGTCTCCCTCCCAGTCTGGCCAGTGAAGCCTGTGGCCTGTGAAGTCCCGCACCCTGTGTCAGCACGTTAGTCAGCCTCCTAGGCTAGGGTGAGCCACTGCGCCGCCAAAGTCCCTATAAACTCCCTGGTGTGGCCCAGTGCCACAGAGTGGGGCCTGTGGGGCCTACGGGCAGAGCCGGGGCCCTGAGCTCTGCTGCTGTGGTGCCGACACCAGCCAAGGGGCAGAGCAGCCACTTGGGACAGCAGAAGCAGAGGGCTGGACCTGGCTGAGAGCAAGCAACCTACTGTGGCCTCTGGGATGTCCTCTGAGCTCCCCAACAAAGCCAGTTGATGAGCCAGGCCCCTGGGGAGCAGACATCTGGTGAAAGAGGCACTGGACCCAGGCCATGTCTGGGAAACGAGGTCGGGCTCGAAAGCCCCGAGGCAAGAGGGTGGGCAGGGCCCAGAGGGCAGCTGGGCAGCAGGGCCCTGAGGCTGAGCCCCCGCCCCCCAACACCGGGGGCCCTCAGGACAAGGTGGGGGTGGCCCTGGCAGAGCACGTGACCAGCACTCAGCCGGATCCTCAGGGCCACTCCAGGGCCACCAGGCCAGAGCAGCTAGAGGCAGCCTGGAGGCCAGTTCAGGCCACTGCTTTGGAATCCGAGCTGGTGCTGGCCCCTGAGCAGCACATGGAGGGCTATGGAGCTGGGGCCCCCATGCCAGCCCTGGGCCCTGAACTGCTGAGACTCCACGAAGTCCAGCTGTGCCTAGCCCAGGAGCAGCTCCTGCTGGAGGACCGGAGGCGGCAGGTCCAGCTGCAGATGCAGCTGTGGCAGGAGGAGCAGCTGTGGCTGCAGCAGCTGCAGGAGGAGCAGCTGTGGCTGCAGCAGCTGCAGGAGGAGCAGGCCTGGGTGCACATGGAGGGGCTGCAGCTGGCTGTGGCCCTGGAGCAGCTCCGGAGTGAGGGCCTCGAGGCACTGCAAACCCAAGGCCAGGTAAGGCCTAGAGGGGTGTTGGGCAGGGGCTCGGGCAGTCTGACGGTACAGTGGACCTTCAAGCATCTTACAGATGTGTGAAGGCTGGGAGGCCAGCTTGGCTATAAAACCTCTGTGGGCCTATACGGTAACCACTGCCTTGTAGTGTGGTGCCCACTGCACGGAATATCACCCAGACCAAGGACAGCAACTGCCCAGACCACACGATGCTTGGCCATTGGGGGAGGGAACTTGTTTGGGGTTGGAGGTGGCAGGGGACCAGAATTAGTAACTACAACAGCTGTCCAGGGCAGTGTGCATAGTGAGGCATGGGGTGAGGGCTGGGTTCGGAAACAAAACTGAGGGGCAGCCTCCACCCCAAGTATCCAGGACAACTTCTCATCCGGTCCACCTGCCCTGCCCCCCTGTTTACTGCGGCTTGGTGCCCAGGGCTTGAAATCACAGAGGCAGCACGCAGTGCTGGTGCCCATTATCCTCATTCCAGGAGGAAGACTGGCCTCAGACGCAGCTGGGGCTATTTTGGGTAACTAGGCTCTCACCCTAGCCAAAGGCATGCTGTGGAGTCACCACGGCCTGCCCCATTCCAGGGCACCTGGCACTGTCTGGTCTAAGATGCAGGGCTGCCTCTGGGTCTGGGTGGGTACCCTCGCAGCAAGCACAGACCCCAGGTAAGCTTGGGTGCAGAGCCCAAGAGACAGCCTGGGAGATGTTCACAGCTGTGGCACAATGAAAGGGACTCAGAGCAGAGGCTGCTTGCGATAAAGGCTGCGGAGGGGTAGTTACGGGGGCGGGGCGGGGTGGGTCGGGGAGGAGTCCTTTTCCTGAGGTGCTGCGGGAGCTAACCCAGGCTGGTTGTAACCTTTCGTCCTGGAGGGGCTGTGGGGAGATGGTCTGAAGGGGAATCGTGACTGTGACACCATGCGTAGACAACCACTGAGCATGAAGACTCCCAACTCGGATTCAAGCCCTGCTCTTTTCAGTGTTGTTTTGTTGTTCTTTTGAGATGGGTTTTTGTCTGTGAAGCCCTGGCTGTCCTGGAACGCACTCTGTAGACCAGGCTGGCCTCGGACTCAGAGATCTGCCTGCCTCTGCTTCCACATGGGCCACCAACGCCATGCTTCAATTTTTTTTTAATGCTATCTGCCCCTCCAATCTCCTCCTGGCTGGCCCCTTTCCTACCTCAAGGGGCTCTAACACCGTGTCCTTCTGAGCAGTGTGCTCACACCCACATCCCAGCTCTAGAGGTTCAGGCTGCAGTGGATGTCTGAGCTTTGAACTACCAAATCTATCATACCCAAGCTCAACAGAAAGATCCCTTGAGGAGAACTTGGAGAGAAAGGGTTTCTCAGAGGAGTCCTATATGCCTAGTGGTCTCATGGTCAGTGTTCGGGCAGTGCCCTGGCACTGGTCAGAGGGTGAACTCACCAGCAGCAGCTCGAGGCTTGGCCCCAGGGAGGGGTGCTGGTGCAGCTTTGGGGCCCCCCTTCTTAGTGCTCATTCTCCTGGGGTGGTGGGAAGGAAAAGTCCAGGGATGGAACATTCAGGTGGTCAGAGGACAAGGCAGTGGCTCTACGGCCCTGGCCCTGGATGAACACACAGAAGGAGCATGGGCTTCCAGCAAGCTCCCCAGCCAGCTCCTCGGGCCACTTGCCTGCCCCTGGTTATCTGAGGATGTGCCCAGTTCCTTAAGTAAGGATGTCTAGCAGGAAGGTGCCTCCCTTCATGCTCGATGTGTGCCTGTTCCCTACAATCCCGGCTCGGCCCATCCTGCTGGAATCCACAGATGGGCATCCTGGTACCGGTCTCTAAATCACTGGGCTAACAGCCGAACAGCCTGCGCTCTACAGCTGTCCTCAACCTGGGTCTGCTGGACAGAACCCCTCCCCGCCCTCAAACCCGTTCTCTTGCTGGCCTCGGAAAACTCTGCTGATTGGTTCTGGATGCAATGCCCTTTTCCCTGGTATACAAGGCTGGCCCAGCCTGGCTTAGAGCCTTCAGTGCCCTAGAACCCCTCATGGGGCCAATGAATACGGCAGTGCAATCACCGACTCCATACACCTATTTTCCCACTTCACCCGTGCCACAGGGTGCCGCTTGGGAGCACTTGGGAGTGGAGTTAATGAAATGCTCTCCTGAAAACAGGACCGGAAAGTGACTGGAGGCTGTCTGACAGAAAGTGTTCAGGCAGGTGGCATTCATTGAGAATTTGGGACAGGAGAAGTAGATAGGGAGCTGCCTTGGACCTATGACTGAGTTCAGGGCACAGCCTAAGTAGGGGAGCGGGTTGGAGGGAGGACTGGGCAGACCAGGGACGGAGAATGTGCTAACACGTGTATCAGTGATGTCTGGGGGTTGATAAGTGCTTGAGGTTCCCTGTCCGTAGAGGGTCCCGGTACTTGCAGCACCCTGGGCGCAGAGACTATCGAATGTGCATGTGTGAAGACGGGACCCCTGTGCCTTCGGTTGATGTGCACAAAGACAGGCTCTGTGGGTTCCAGGATACTCTGGGGCAGTTTGGAGCACAATCCTCTATGTGGCATGGGGGTAAGGCACGGTGTGGGGGATTCTGTGTGGCGGAGGGGCTTCTGCCTGCGGGTCATCCAAGATTCCCTTGTGCCTGAGGGGTCCATGGGTAGAGGTGTGTGTGTACAGGATCTCCTACGTGGTAGAGGTGTGTGTGTACGGGCTCTCCTACGTGGCTGGGCACATGGGTATGAAGGCCCGTTGAGTTCCTACGCTGTCGGTCTCATGTGCGAAGAGGAGCCTCCAGGGAGAGCACTGGGAAAACTAGAGGAGCTTCTGCGTGCGGTGGGCGGTCACCTGAGTGAGCTCGGTGCTGGGGTCCCGCGCCTGCCGCCACACCTGCCACACCTGCCTCACCTGCCTCCCGCAAGGTAGAGGCCAGAAGCTCCGCCCTCGCGTATGGCTGGCCAGTTTCCTAGCGACTAAGCCGGAACTTCCGAGTCACCCCGACTTCCGGGGCGAGGGTCAGGGGTCGGCAGTAGGGGCTTCGAGCGATAGGTTCGCCAATAGGTTCAAGGAGCTTCGGGGGTCCTAGAAGAAGAGGCTCTAGCAGTCCGGAGTGACGCTGGCCAGGGTCCGGGGCGCGGCTCTGGGGCGCCGCCAGAGCGCTCGGGGGTCGGGGTTGGGGGTGTGGGCTGGAGGCGCCAGCGAAGCCACACCGGGGACCCGAGATCGCGGCCGGGGTCCGGGCCGTGGAGGGCACAGGAATGCGGGCGCGTCGGGGTGGGGCCGCCCCGCCCAGGTGCTGCCCGGGCAGGCAGGAGGCAGAGCGCGGGCGGGGCGGGGGCGGGCGCGTGAATCAGGCCGAACGGGCGGGCGGGCCGCGGTGGGGAGTGGCTGTCGGACGGACCGGACCGCGAGGCCTCTGGGCGGCGGTGGGCTCCTGCTGCCCCTGTGCCGAGACCCCGCTCACCTGGCCAGGTAGGGCTCCCACCCCAGGGCGGGCCGAGCACCGTGCGGCGCGGCGCGTAGGACGGGAGGCTCGGGCCTCCGCGCGGAGGCACCTAGGTATGGACCTGGGCCGGGGTGTGCAGTGAAGGCGTGTGTGGGGCTAGGTGAGAGACAGGGGGACTGCGCTATGGGTTACTGGGGAAGGGGTTTCCCAGAGGCACGCTGGCAAGTAGGAGGCAGAAGGAAAGGTGCGACTCGCCCTCGCGGCCTAGATGTTGTCCGGGCATGACCTGTACCTTTCCCGGAGCCTCTTCCCAAGCCGCCATGAACTGGGGTGTCCAGGCCTGGATCCCTGGGTGGAAGGCAGGAAAAACTGGGGTCTCCTAACTTCTGATCCCACATTCCGGGACTGGATTGGCAGATAAAACACCTGGTCTGGGTAGCGGCTAACTTCTTGGGGCACAGCAACACCCTTGGGCCTTGCAGTGCCTAACCCGAAAGCTGTATAACTCACCGACTTCCGGTCTTTGAGCCTAATCCCACCTCCCAGCTTCTTCTTGTCCCCTACCGTCGCACCCCTACTTGGTCACAGTCACCCTCTTTGTGTAGTAGCTTGAGGTCCTCCCCATGGGATCTCCCTCCCAAACACAGGAACACTACCTTCTGTAGGGGAGGGGTGGTCTTTTTCTTGTGCTTTTTGTGGTGAAGGGCCTGGAGAATGGCTTCAGGTCGGAGGTCAGCGACAGAAAATTCCTGCTGAGTCATTCATTGGTTTGGGTGGGATATGTGTCTTCCTTAATCAGGGGCCTACTTGGATAGGCAGATGTCAGTTAACAGGCTGTTGGGTTCATTGCTGATAGGAGTGGTCACTGCCCAGTCTAGAGTTAAGTGCGATGTGGCTCAGCGAAGGAACATGCGGGCATTTGAGGTCTCGTGTGACTGCTGGGTGAGGGCAGGTCCCACAGTGGCCTGCTCAGGACTAGGGCGGCTTCCCAGTGATGGTTCCTCACCAGAAGTCTGGACAGAGTCAGTTCTCTGTCTTCCTTATACCAGAAAGTGACCCCTCAGAGCGAGCGTGCCAGGACTCCATGTAGTGTGGGCATGCCGACTGTGGAGGGCTGCGTCTGAGCGGACGGGTCAGCATTCTTACCCCAGGTGGTCTGTCTTGATCTCCCCAGAACAGTGTGCCACACCTCACACTGCAGGCAGGAAGGAAAACCAACAGCCTACAGTCAGGGCAGCACCCCAGAGGGAACTCAGAGCACTCTTCTTAGCAAGGAGACATAGGAGTGTCCTCACCTCCAAGCTCTGTCGTATTTGGACTTGTGATGTATTACACCATGCTCCTAGGGATGGCAGACACCAGAGCTCCCTGGGTCAGACACAAGCCAGAGTCCTAACCCCCTACATCACTGGGCAAGTGTCCCCTAATAACAGAGCGGCCATCCTGGCAGCATCACCTGGCCCACTCCTCAAGGCACTCCTCTTCCTGGGCAGAAATAACTTCCTAGTCTCGACTGACATCCAGGAACCTATGTGGTAGGCAGGGCAAGAGCCCCAAGCCATTTCAAGCCTGAGGAGCAGTGGGGAGTGGGGTGAGCTTGCCCTAAGGCAGCTTCCAGGCCAGAGGTCAGCAGGTTTCTGGGTGTTTGATTGCTATTTCTAGTGCCTTCTTCAAGCACAAGCTTTCTGCTACACCTCCCCCCAGCCACTAGAGAAGAATAGTGGTCCTGGAGCACCTGTGACAGGACAAGACGTCCTTAGTGCATTGGGGAGAGGGTGGCAGTCCAGGCTCATGGAAATGTCTCTCTCGTCTTCAGGATGGGAAGGTATAGAGACCCTATAGAGAGGGCCTAGCCCCAAGGAACTGTGGCCCAAGGAGGTTTAGCTGAGGTGGGACGGTAGCAAAGGGTGAGGTTTTCAGAGCGGTTGGAGTTGGGGCAGGGAGATGAGTGAAGGGGCTGTGGGAAGGTGGAGGTGTGGACTGGGGGAAGAGGTGTGGGTGGGGTTTAAGGCCATCATCCCTGGATGAGTCAGTCTCCACTCTGCTGTGCTCACCTTGGGCCAGGTACAGTGTCTTGCCACCCCTCCCAGCCCTGCACAGTGAAGCTAACAGGCCAGAGCACAGGATCTTCAGGCAGTGGAGACAGTGCCAAGGGGCCAACGAGACTAATCTCTGGAGAAAAGAGGGAATCATCTTTTTACTGGACTGCAATTGTGTCTTAACCAACAACTTATTTTTAGAGGAAAGGGGATCCACAAAGTAAACGGGTCATAAATGTACTGACCCTGGAGGAAGGGTAGGTGGGACCTTTTACCTATCTGGAGTGGGGACCAGTCCCTGAGACCCTGATGAGAACAGGGTCTCCGCCCCAGGAAGGGGATTTAGGGCTGAGTGCCAGTGGCCCCTGTCTGCCCACTAGGGGCATGCTGTGGTCCTTAGGGCTGCCTCTGAGTCTATCTTAGATGGGCCCTGGAAGACACCTCAGGCATAAGCTAAACCCGAGATCTAGCAGCTCCATCAACTCTGTGTGTCTACTTGTAGAATAAGGTAAGTGGATCCTACTGCCCCTTGTTAATGCATATTCCCGCCCCTTCAGGCCCCTGGCCCCAACATGGCCCGTCGCTCCCAGAGCAGCTCGCAGGGGGACAACCCGTTGGCACCTGGGTACCTGCCACCTCACTACAAAGAGTACTACCGCCTGGCGGTGGATGCCCTGACGGAGGGTGGGCCGGAAGCCTACAACCGCTTCTTGGCATCTGAGGGGGCACCGGACTTCCTGTGCCCCGAGGAGGTGGAGCATGTGAGCCGCCACCTGCAGCCCCCACAGTATGTGGCCCGGGAACCCCCTGAAGGCAGCCCTCCCGATGTGGACATGGATGGTTCCTCAGGCACCTACTGGCCAGTGAATTCGGACCAGGCCGTGCCTGAGCTGGATCTGGGCTGGCCCCTGACGTTCGGCTTCCAAGGCACAGAGGTCACCACACTGGTACAGCCGCCGCCACCCGACAGCCCCAGCATCAAGGATGAAGCCCGGAGGATGATCCGCTCCGCGCAGCAGGTGCAGCACCGTGGGCTGGGTGGATGGTGAAGGGTACCCCGAGCCGGAGCATGAATGGGCAGGTTTGGGAGCAAGACCTCAGCAGGAGGCTCACCCAAGCCGGTCTGCCCACTGCCACCTGGGGCTTGGTTAGTGGGCTCCGCACGCATCTACTTGTTTAGGATCATGGCTAGGACCCAGAAGCTCTGAGCCTCTGACATACTTACTGCTCTCTTCAGACCTTATCAAGCTAAAAGCAACCCACCCCCACAAGCAGTTGGCAGACAGCAAAAACGAGTGTTTAAGCCAGGAAGACTGGTTCATACTGGGAATCCTAGCGTTCAGGTAGTTGAGGCCAGCCTGGACTACATAGTAACAGTCCAGCTTGTATTAAAAAATACACTCCCACAAAGTTCGGGAAGATTAGAGTGAGGTAGCAAGGCCAGTTAGTAAAGGCGTAGCTTCTGTCTCTGCTCCGGGAAGTGACAGCTACCCAGCCCTCATCAAGCCTGAGGTTCTGATGTCTGCCCTTGACAACTTGGGACCTGAACATACAGAGCCAGGGCCGCAGCTACTCCCCCTCTGAATGAAGCACCCTAAAAGTATAAGCCCTGCCCCCTGCTTCAGGTTCTCTTATGGACTGCCAAGTGTCAGCTGCTCTGTGTCCCTTTGCTGGGTCCCTTCTACCACCCCTCCCATTCGTGGCCATTCTCGCCTGGAGTAGAACTGTCATCAGTGCTGGAGGGTGAAAGTGTGGCCAGAGCTGGGTAGGGTGCCCTTTCCTTCTCCGCTGACTCGATGCCCACCTCGCAGGTGGTGGCTGTAGTGATGGACATGTTCACTGATGTGGACCTGCTCAGTGAAGTGCTGGAGGCTGCTGCAAGGCGAGTCCCCGTCTACATCCTGCTGGATGAAATGAACGCTCAGCACTTCCTAGACATGGCCGACAAGTGTCGGGTCAACCTGCACCACGTGGATGTGAGTGACCAAGCCAGGGGAGTGGAGGGAAAAATACCTTTGGTGAAGACCTGACTCCCCTCTCTTCCAGTTCCTGCGCGTGCGCACAGTGGCAGGGCCTACCTACTACTGCCGCACTGGGAAGTCTTTCAAGGGCCATCTGAAGGAGAAGTTCTTGCTGGTAGACTGTGCTGTAGTGATGAGCGGGAGTTATAGGTATGACCAGTGGGTTTCCCTCAGCCCTGGCCCTCCCCACGGAGCCCCCCTCCGTGATCCCACTCCCTTCCCAGTTAGCCCTCCTTGCCACGTCTCATTCCAAATCCTCAAAGATCCCCAGTCCCTAATTTTCAAAGTGGTGCCTTCGGTCTTTGTGGTTTCCCTTCCCTGACTCCCACCGCCCTTCCCACAGCTTCATGTGGTCCTTCGAGAAAATCCACCGCAGCCTGGCGCATGTGTTCCAGGGAGAACTGGTCTCCAGCTTCGACGAAGAGTTCCGCATCCTCTTTGCACAGTCGGAGCCGCTGGTGCCCTCAGCTGGGGCGCTAGCCCGCATGGATTCCTATGCGCTTGCTCCGTACTCCGGGGCTGGGCCCCTGATGGGCGTTCCCGGGGTTGGAGCACCAACACCATTTTCTTTCCCTAAACGGGCGCACCTCCTATTCCCACCACCCCGGGAAGAAGGCCTCGGGTTCCCCTCTTTCCTAGACCCTGACCGCCATTTCCTATCCGCTTTCCGCCGTGAAGAGTTGCAGCGGATGCCTGGGGGTGCACTGGAACCCCACACAGGGCTCCGGCCGCTGGCGCGTCCCGCTGAGGCTGGACCCATCGGAGAGCTCGCCGGCCCGCGGGGCTTCTTCCAAGCACGGCACCTGGAAATGGATGCCTTCAAGCGACACAGCTACACAGCCGCGGATGGAGCCGGAGCCGTGGAGAACTTTGCCGCCGCAAGGCAGGTGTCGCGACAAACATTCCTCAGCCACGGTGAGGACTTCCGTTTCCAGACCAGCCACTTCCAACGTGACCAGCTCTACCAGCAGCATTACCAGTGGGACCCACAGTTTGCACCTGCGCGCCCGCAGGGCCTTTTCGAGAAGCTTCGTGCAGGTCGACCTGGCTTCGCGGACCCTGACGACTTCACCCTAGGTGCTGGGCCCCGCTTCCCAGAACTTGGTGCTGACGGGCACCAGCGGCTGGAATATGTGCCATCCAGCGCATCTCGGGAGGTGCGCCACGGCTCTGATCCTGCCTTTGGACCCAGCCCCCGTGGTCTAGAGCCAAGTGGGGCCCTGCGTCCCAACCTGGGCCAGCGTTTTCCATGCCAACCAGCCTTGAGGCAAGGCCAGGATACCACTCCGGAGGCAGAGACTGAGCGCAGGGGTGGGCCCGAGGGCCGGGCCGGACTACGTCACTGGCGACTTGCTTCCTACCTGAGCGGCTGCCATGGTGACGGTGGGGAAGAGGGGCTGCCAATGGAGGCTGAGGCCTATGAAGATGAAGTGCTGGCTCCTGGAGGCCGGGACCTGCTCCCCTCCACTTTCCGCACCCCTGCAGTTTTCCCAGCCAAGGGACCAAAGCCAGGCTCCGGAAGCGGTGGTGGCGACAGCTCCGAGCGAGAGGGCCCAGAGGAGGCAAGCCTGGCTAAGCAAGACTCCTTCCGCTCACGCCTGAATCCGCTCATCCAGCGCAGCTCCAGGCTGCGCTCGTCGCTCATTTTCGCATCCCAGGCCGAGGGTGCTGGTGGGGCGGCAGCAGCCACTACTGAGAAAGTACAGTTGCTGCACAAAGAGCAAACAGTCAGTGAAACTCTGGGTCCCGGCGGGGAGGCTGTCCGCTCCAGCGCTTCTGCCAAAGTAGCGGAGCTGCTGGAGAAATACAAGGGCCCTGCCCGGGACCTTGGCGGTGCAGGGGGTCCCGTCACCGCCTCCAGCCACAGCAAGGCGGTAGTGTCCCAGGCCTGGCGGGAGGAGGTGGTAGCACCAGGAGGAGCCGGAACTGAGCGTCGCAGCCTCGAGAGCTGCTTGCTCGACCTGCGGGACTCCTTCACACAGCAGCTGCACCAGGAGGCGGAGCGACATCCGGGAGCCGCTTCACTGACCGCTGCACAGCTCCTCGACACTCTGGGTGGCACAGACCGCCTGCCATCACGCTTCCTCTCCACCCAGGGCCGCTCCCTGTCGCCACAAGATCGAGAGAGCCCTCCACTAGAAGGGCCCGGAACGCACCAGCTGCCTTACTCTGAGCGCAAGGGGAGCCCGACCCCGGCCTACCCTGAGCGCAAGGGGAGCCCCACCTCAGCGTACCCTGAGCGCAAGGGGAGCCCCACCTCAGGGTACCCTGAGCGCAAGGGGAGCCCCACCTCAGGGTACCCAGACCGCAGGGGCAGCCCAGTGCCCCCTGTGCCTGAGCGCAGGGGCAGTCCGGTACCCCCTGTGCCTGAGCGCAGAGGCAGTCTCACCTTCGGTGGGGAGCCTTCAAAGACCGGCCCCACAGAGGAAGTGGCCAGCGGCCCCATGGAAGTTCTGCGAAAAGGCTCGCTCCGTCTGAGGCAGCTGCTGAGCCCCAAGAGTGAACGGCGTGGGGAGGATGAGGGCAGCTTTCCCGCCCCTCAGGAAAACGGGCAGCCTGAGAGCCCCCGACGGCCCTCCCTGGGTCGGGGTGACAGCACAGAGGCTGCTGCAGACGAAAGAGGCTCAAGGGTGCGCCTGGCTTCAGCTACTGCCAATGCTCTGTACAGCAGCAACCTGCGAGACGACACGAAGGCCATTCTGGAGCAAATCAGTGCCCACGGCCAGAAACACCGCGGAGTCCCTGCCCCAGGTCCAGTCCACAGCAGTCCTGAGCCGGGTCGCCCAACAACTGCAGGAGACTTGGCCCCAGACATGTCCGACAAGGACAAGTGTTCGGCCATCTTCCGTTCGGACAGCCTAGGGACACAAGGCAGGCTCAGCCGCACACTGCCAGCCAGTGCCGAGGAGCGTGACCGGCTCCTGCGCCGGATGGAGAGCATGCGCAAAGAGAAGCGTGTCTACAGTCGCTTCGAGGTCTTCTGCAAAAAGGAAGAAGGTGGTGGTACTGGGACAGGAGACAATTTGGCAGATGAGGACACCAGGGACAGTAAAATGGGCAAATTTGTTCCCAAGATCCTGGGTACATTCAAAAGCAAAAAATGACCTCCTGGTCTTGGAGGCCATGACTCCGCATCACTGCCATACTGTACCCACAGTACCCATCTGGTATTGATGGAGTGGTGGCTGCCAGGCTGGCGTCAAAGCAGTCTGAAGCCTGGTGATGACCGCCTGAACTGAGCTGCACTTGAATTCGCCTGGCAGCTACACTCTCTCCCCCTCTTGGCTCATCCTCACTAAGGGGCTCAGCCCCTCCTGGTGCATTTTCCTCACCTCAGCCCCCACCATCTCCCGGACTCAGGTCCACTTTGGGTCTTATTTCACCTCAGGGATCCACCTCTGCCTTATTCTCCAACTTTTTAAGAACTCTCACTTTATGCTTCAGTTGCCTACTTAGGGCCTTTTTATCTCAGGGCTTTTCCTCAGGGTATGCATCGCACAGCTCCTGGGTCCACTGCCTGCCTCTGGTGACAGCTTCCCCCCCTCCTCTCCCCTCCATCTCTCTCTGGAACTCACCTTCCCTCCTCCCACCGTCTCCTCACTGCCTCCTAGCACTTTCTTGGCACCTGCCCTCTTGCTGTGGGAACAGCAGGTCTGGCCTCAGGCAGTTTAAGGTAAAGGAGGGTGACAGGGATGCTGGATAGGGTAGGCCACTGGACAGTAGTTGCCAAGCACCTACCGGGACTCCCTCAAGCCACATCTGCCCTCTCCAGCAAGTCTCTGGGTAGCACTTGAAGAGGAGCCAGGAATGGGGAGCACTGGACTTTGCAGTACAATAAAGCAGTCTAAACAGACTTTCTATGACCCCAAACCTCAGTAAGTTCCTAAGCCAAAAGTCTGGGAAGAGGCTGTATATGATGTGTTTGTCCTCAGCAGAAGGCAGATGAGATATAGTACAGCCAGAGCCCCAGCCATCACTGAGGGACAGTAGGTTCCACCCCCCAAATCCACCCTAGTCTTGGGCCTTTCCTATTTGTCACCAACAAAAAGAAATCTGTCCAAGGTCCCTGGTTACTTTTATTTTTCTTACCTCTAAGGATTAATTTTTATTTGGATGACACCAAATGCGTAGAGCCCCTACACGCACACACATGCACACTGAGAACTGTGTTTCTGCTGTCTATTCTTTCCAAATAGATTGTGCGTGTGTGTGTGTGTGTGCGTGCACGCGCGTGCGCAAACACATATGCAATCCCAAGGGGGCAAAGATGAGAACAAAGCCACCAAACAGTTAACTCCAGCAGCTGAAGAAGGGGGGAGTACTGGGACTCAGGCAGTGACCCAATCTGCCCTGTAACATTTCACTGTCAAAAATCCCCAAATTCCTGGCCAGGTGTACACAGGCCTCTGGGAACTAGATGAGCTGGAGTGTTTCCTAGTCTTGACATGCTCACTGCTTAGCTTGTCTTAGGGCTCATGGTGCCGTGTCCTGTGCGTCACTGCTCATGCTCAGACCTGTTAAGCTCTGCAATGGAAAAATGGTGACCTATAGTCCTTCCTAGGGCCCTCTGAACCCCCTGGCTGCTCCCTTCAGACCTTTCTAAGAAGGGTATTTTCTAAATCACAGTCCTGCGTTCTGACCTTAACAATAAACACAACACAAACCCCAACAGCCCAATGTGGGAGGCAGGGGTGATCAGGGGCAGCCCAGAACCAGACCAACCAGGGCTACACAGTGAGAGCCTATGTGCGCCCACGTGCACACACACAGCCAGCATGTCCACAGATAGGTGTAATCCAATATATGCCAGCCGTTAACCCTGTGGCCTCCCAGGTTGCTTTTTTTTTTTTTTTTTTTTTTTTGGAAAACCAGGAGTCCTGTGGGGACCAGGAGGGGCCTTAACCCGCCGTGTCTGTACAGACACCTCTCCCCTACCTGCCAGCCCCATATAGACACTCAGCTGGCTCTCAGGTCTCCAAACCCAACAGATGCTGCTCAACCTTTTCTTGCAGTTTCTGTCCAGCCTGAGCCCTTCCCGCCCTGATAGGCAGTTTTGTCTTTGCAGGCACACTGGTTTCTGGTGTTTGCCCTCACAGACTCCTTTGTTCTGTTTGTCAGCAACTTGGAGCTATGCCTCAGACTCTTGAAACCACGCACTGACCCAACTGGCAGTCAGCCACCTCAGGAGACAAACCTTTGGCTCCAGCTCTGACTGGCTCCCTACCACGGTGGAATCATACCTGCCCTCTCCTGTGCCCAGTTATTTGATTTCCAATTCTGTCTCATTTCACCCAGTTCTACTGCTACTCAGGCTCCAACTCTGCCCAGCTTCCCCCACCCATGCCTTGTCCCTCTTGCCATTTGCTCCACTGTGGCCAGCAGCTTTAGACAGCTCCCCCAGCCAGGTGGGGGAGGAGAGGGAGAGGGATGGCTCTCCTGTGGTCTACTCCAGCCCAGCTCCGGAGGCTGTGTGGAGGACTTGGGCCTCTCTACGCAGCTCTGTTCTGAACTCAAACCAAGGCCTTTGCACAGCAGTGCAGTCCCCACCCCCCTTCCTTTTATCAAGACCTGGAGACAAGCCAGGGGTCAGTCGGTCACTGTGTGGTTAGAGCACAGGCTGCAGTCACTGACAAAAGGGAGCAAGGGCCTTGGGCCAAGAGATGTGCCTCCTCTCTCCCCTTTGTGGCTTGGGTCTCAGGTAATCATTGGTAAACCTGCTCCTGGGTAGGGAATGGTTGGTTCCACGGTCCTGGGCTGAATGGGCAGAAGCCTCCGAGAGAGAGAGAGAGAGAGAGAGAGAGAGAGAGAGAGAGATGATCCTGGCCATTCAGCAGGATTCAGACGTGGAGCACTCAGGAGAGTAGGCTTCAGGAAAAGTTTGGGACCTAGGAAGGGCGTTCTCGGATGGTAGTGGATGAAAGATGGCTTAGCTGGGCTGGAAAAATACTTTATTGGAAGGAATTGTGAGGGTGGAGTGGAAACCTCCGTCTACTCCCCCTTAGGGGAGAGAGGCTCAAAGATCCCTCCCAGAACTCGAATGCAGACAGGTAAAGGAGGGAGATGCACTGGGGGCTGGGGAAGGGCGCCAGGCTGTCGCAAGGAGGCGGTTGGGTGGCTCACGCACGCGGTCCGGGGAGCAGGGGCAGGCGGCTCAGCGCCGAGCGGCACACGGTCCCGTAGGCCTGGGAGTAGCCGCCAAGCGCAGCTTTGGCTGCGCCCTGGGCCCCCTGCAAGGCCGAGGTGCCAAACATCCTTCGGCCGGGTCGGGGTTCCGGGGCCTCCCGGGGCAGGCGGGAAGGGACCTGCACGCAGGCGAGGGTCTTGTTCAGGAGGGAGAGAAGTGGAGAAAGGTTCTGGGGGGTACGAACCACAATGGAGGGAGCTAGGAAGGGCCAGGGCTGGGCTCACCCATCGCGTGCCGACCGCCCGCGGCCCACCGCCCCGGGCCGGATCACTGCGGATCAGAACCTGATTGGCCGCCTGAGCCGCGGCCTGTGAAGTCAGGGAGGGCACCACCATCTTAAGGTTTGGCTTCACCTGGAAGGCGTGCACCACAGGGTCACGGAAACGTACTGCGAGAGGCTCTTCCGTGCCCATCCAACCTCGACTTACCCTTGAGGGTGCCAAGGGTGGCTCGGCAGTGGCCCCTGGGGGCCTTTCCCACCTGCCTGGCGGCGGAAGTTGGAGCAGGGGGTCTGAGTCCTGCTTGGGAACTTCTGTGGGGTCGTAAGAGCAACCCCTGGAGTTAGGTCCCCGCCGCGCACGTTGGTGGCCCCACACAGAAGGGGCCAGGGGTGCGTGGGAGGCGGGCAAGGCTCACCCACGTGCTCAGGGTTATGATCGGGGATACTCTGAGGTCTGAGTCTGTGTTTCCGCGCAGGCGTCTCCTTGGGGATCTGGGGGAGGATTCTGAGCTTCAGCGCTTGGGCCCGGGCAGGGGAAGCCCTGCGCTCTGCCTGCGAGGCTGCACCCCCCAGGCCTTCCTCCGGAGGGCTGCGGCAGATCGCTCTCCGCTCCAGGATCATCTGCGGGGTAGGAGGAGCGCTCAGTCGGGGCGGGGCAGTACTGGGGTCGCTGGAGTAAGAGGCTGGGAGGGTGCCCGTGGAAGGCGGGGCACTGGGAGTCCACAGCCCCAGCAGCACCTGGTACAGGCGGTTGCGATAATCTAGCGCAGAGAGCTGGTCTCCTTCGTGCACCGGGAGCCGCACTTCGGATCCCCGTGTCCACTCGCGGTCGGGGCAGTGGAATCTGCGGGGCCGAAAAAAAAAAAAATAGATGCAAGGCGTTGCAGGAGAGCAAGCCACTCGGGCTCCCTTCACGCCTAGCCCCCCCCCCCCCCCCCCGTTTCGTGCCTCACCTCTGCACGTAGGGGTGCTGCAGCGCCTGCTCTGCACTAAGCCGCTTGCCCGGAGCAAACGCCAAGAGTTGCTTCAAGAGGTCCAGGGCTTCTGGGGGGGTGTCTGGCGGCAGTAGGGCGTCCAGCGTCTGCCGTGGCCTGCGGGCAGCCGCCTGTCGTCTCCTCTCTAGGGCCCCGCCCGCGGAACCTTCTGTGTGTGGCTTGACCTCCACTTTTCTGCTTGTGTAAATCCCACTCCCCGAGGCCTGTTCCCAAAGTGGTCACCTCTCCATCCCATTCCCTCCTCCCCGCTCAGTGGGACTCTCCTCCCTTTTCCTAAGGCTGGGGTGTTCTTACTTCTGGGGCATGGGTCTTATTTTTTAATTTTTTTCTTTTCCTTGCCAGCCTCGTGGATTTTTGTCTCCCACCCTTCCCCCTTCATGACTAAGCTTTAAGAGGCTGGGGCTGAGGGCAGAGCTCTGCACTGGTACAAACTGGCTTTGTCAGCTGCAAGGTGGCTGCCCCCTCTTTCCAGCTGCCACCTCTCCCCCACACCTAAGTGGTCCACTCACCTGGACCCGAGATTCTGCAGAATCAAAGCACTGTATTCTGAGCCGAGGCCCTGGAGTTCTGTGGGTGGGTGGGTGGGTGGGTGAGTGGGTGGAAGGGTTTTGAGCAGGCAGGCTTGGTAGAAGGGGACAACCATCCCTTCTGGCCACATAAATAATAGCCTCTCAGAGAGTCTGTGATCTGGAGGGACTCAGACCCCTAAAAACCAGCCATTTGCCCTGTATGAGCCTATGAGCACCCAGAGCCATGCTTTACCTGGAAGCCACACAATCTCAACATGCTCACATAGAAGATGCTGGGCTCATGCCTCTGTTTGCTTTCACCCCAAAAGCAGGAGCTTTCTGAGAGAACAGAGGGACCCTGCTGGATCTTGAAGGTTTCTCCCTCCTGCCACGCCCCCCTGACGGAGGCTCTCAGCAGCCAGCACAGGTGCTTCACTCCTGTTCCCCTGACCCTCTGCACAACCAGCACCTTCCAGTTACTGTTTGGCTTCCTCTGTCCCTGGGGCCATTTCTGCCTCCTGCAACAGCTGGCCCCAGCAGCCGTTCTCTGGCTCCTCCTTTCAGATGACTGAAAGGGCCACTTTCAGTCATCTGGGGGCAAAAGACTCTCTTCTGCACAATAGTGGGGCCTGTCTCACGGCTGTGCCCTCTGACTCTCATTACCCTATGCCTAGGGACAGGCTGCTGAGGTTCAGACCTCAGTGTATACGCTCACCCTCCGTGGAGGGCAATGGAATGGTCTCCAGGATCAGCTCCAGCTGGTGGAAAGTAGACGTGCCAGGAAAGAGTGGTTCCCCTCGAAGCATCTCTCCCAATATGCAGCCCAGGCTCCACATGTCCACTCCAGGGGTATACCTGGGGCAGGAAGGGGTGTGTGCAAGGGCAGGAAGCACAGAGGCAGAGGTAGAATGGTAGTGGGGGGCACTGAGTAGTCTGGTGGGCTCAGGCAGGACCAGGATACAGGGTGCCCTATGGGACCTGAAGGGAGAAGGTAGGCTGGGCATGCGGCTGTTACCATCGGCAGGACAGCAGCACCTCTGGAGCTCGGTACCAGCGTGTGGCCACATACTCTGTCAGGGCTTGGCCCTCAGGGCCCTCAGGGAGGTCGCTAAGGGGCCGAGCCAGGCCAAAGTCACAGAGTTTCACCCGGCAGGCAGCATCCAGTAGAACATTGGCTGGCTGGAGAGAGGAATGGGCTTGAGACCCAGCGGGCCTGGTGCACAGGGGAGCCAGGGAACTGTGGGCACACTGCAGACCCAACCTTCTGGTCCCGGTGGATGACACTCCCTGAGTGGATAAACTTGGTGGCCCTCAGGAGCTGGGAAAAGATGCACCGCTTGTGGATGTCCTCCAGCAGCCTGCCCTTTCGGATGACCATGTTTAGGTCGGTGTCTGGGAAGGATACGCAGGTCAGTCTGGAGGGCGAAGAGCGCAGGTGTGTCTGTACCACTTTGAGCCTGCACCAGCCCTCCTCAGCCCCTCTGGGCTCTCTCTGCCTGGCTACCCAGCCATTGAGCCCGTCTTCACTGCCAATAGAACCATGACAGTCTGTGGGATTATTTTCATACTGTTTCGTGTTGTTCTTGGTTTACAAACTGAGTGGGAAAGGGGGAACACAGCAAGCGGGGGCAAAGCAAGAACTCTGCTCAGGAGGGGCGGCGGGGAGCGATGTTCACCACCAGGCCAAGTGCAGGCAGGGTGAGGGGAGAGACGGGGCTTCACCTTCAGGCTTTGAAGGTCAATCTTCACTAGTTTTGTGCTCAGGTTCAAGGAGCCAATATGGCAGAGGCCAAGCAGCAGAGGGACATAAGGAAGGAGCCAGTCCACTCAAGCAGGGCTGGGAACTGGCCAAGGCTTCACTCACCCATGGACTCAAACACCAGGTAAATATCTCTGTCATTCTCTGCTGGGATCACATCAAGCAGGCGGATGATGTTGGGATGGTCCCCAAACTCCTGGAAAGGTAGGCTGTTGCTGTTGGGAAGCCAAGGCCATGCTCTGGACCACTAGGGCCGGCTTCTCCCTTGTCTGAGGGGGACCTGCTCGCAGGAAAGGGATGAGATAGGGATGGCCTGGGCCAATTACCTGGAGAAGCATGACTTCACGGAAGGTCCTCTGTAAGAAACAGAAATACCCAGCAGGGCTGACCCAGATATGCCAGGAAACCTGCTTCAAGGCCCCGCCTCCACCCCACAGCGCCCTCCATATTTCCTCACTGCTCACTTACCTGAGCATCTGTCTGGTCCCTAAAGGCATCAAAGATTTTCTTGATGGCTACTACCTCACCAGTCCTCCGATCCACTGCCTTCCACACAATGCCATAGGCCTGGAGAACATATAGCTCACACACAGTTCCTGCCCTCTATGTATCCACTCAGACCTTCCTGAGCCTGGCTTATGTGCTCCTGAGCCAGGCCGGAGCAGCCTTTCACTCTCTGTTAACTAGAATGGGCCAGGCTTCCACAGAACAACCTATGGGAACCCAGAAAGGTAGGGGATGTGGGTGGAGCATCAGTACTACGCCTCCTGCGACCCGGGGACCCTGGCAGTCACCTGCCTTCCAGGGCGAGGTCCCTGAGTGCCACCTAGTTTCCTTATGGAAACAGGGGTGCAGGAGCCTCGGAGGAGGCGGGACGCGAGTCCAGGAGCCAGCGTCCAGAACCATATGAACAAGTCATATGGTTGAACAAGCCTTGAGGAGGCTGACCGCGGATAACTGCAGGGCCCCCTAGGATGACGGGACGTCCCCGCGCTCACCCCCTTCCCAAGCCTCCGCTTGAGCAGGTATCTCTGGGCTACGTTATGATCCACCTCGGCAGCACACATGGCGAGAGGCAGGCGCCGGCTCCTGGGGTTGACCGACTCTTTCCTTGGAGCTGGACCTGTTGATCCGTTGGCTTGGGAACCGGCAGACGCGATGCTCCTCCCTTGCGCCTGCGCCAATGGGCGGGGTCCGCAGCCGGCCCCACCTGTCCGCTTGGGTCGGCTGGTCTGTGCACGCGGGAGTGTGGGTGGGGTTGGGGTGGGGAGGCTATCCCCGGAGGGCGCCTGGCACAGCAGCATCGCAGCACTGCTAGCCCCTGGGTTTGTGCACGTCTGGGTGCAAGGGGGTGCTGAGATTCAGGTTCTCTCAGGGGCGAAGCTGGTATGTGCAACCGTGGATGAAAAGTCGGCGAGGTCAGGGCTTGGTGGGCGCCCTGAACCCTGGTAAAAGACCACTTTTAGAGCGGATGACCGGGGAAGGCGCCAAGTGGAGTGAGCCCAATACATTTGAGGCTCCAGGCTTGCCTGGCAGGGGAGTTGGACGGAGACCAAAGGGATGGGTCACCCAGAGGACCAAACACTGGGACCCCAGATGAGAGAGGGAGGAGGCTGCAAGCAGCAAGAAGGTAGCTATTATGCTGAAGTGGGGACACCACACAAGAGCAAGGAACACGGTGCTTGGAAGTGGATCCGGAGCTCTGGAGCCTTCCTTTATTAGGATGTGGGAAGGGTGACAGGCCTGGGCTGACCAGAGAGATGCAGTGTGTGTGTGTGTTTTCTCTAAGTGAGTCAATATAAAGCTAGAAGCAAGTCATTCAGATATACTAGAGACAGATGATCTTCAAAACCCTCAGAGATCTACAGAATACAGCATTTAAAGATCTTTTATTTCTGTTTCATGGTTTTATTGGGGTTTATCCTGGGTAGGAGCTGTCCACCTTAGGGTACCTCCCTCCCCAGTGTGTCTATTTGACTCCTCCTGGGAGGCTTTTGGGGACTTTTTCTTTTTCTTAGTGCTGCTGTTTGTGGAGCTAGCAGCAGCTTCAGGCTTCTCCTCAGAAGAAAGTTTCCTTTTCTTCTTAGGGACAGCTGGGCTTGCTGCCTCTCCCGGTCCACTGGCCATTTCCTCCTTAGGTGAGGATTTCTTCCTCTTAAGACTTACACTGCTAGTAGCCATCTCCTCAGGATCGCCGGGCAACTCCTCGGGAACTTTCTTTTTCTTGGTTTTAGGCAAAGAGACATTCTCCTGTGGAGTCTCCTGGGGTTTTAGCTTTTTCTTCTTAGGTTTTTCATGTATCTCCCCCGGTTGAGGACTCCTGGGAGGCAGCTGAGGACAGAGCACACTTGTCCCTGGAGTGAGCTATGTGCTACAACCAGCATCCTGGGCTCTTGGTCACGTTCTCTCAGCACCTATCGTCCTCCCTCACACTCCTCTGGAGCACTACTGTTTTCTGAGGAGGCCAGAGCCAGTCAGCCAGTCCCTTCTTTTCCTTCTTCAAGTGCTTCTTCTCCTTCTTTTTCAGCTTCCTGGTTATTTCAGCAGCCGCTCCCTCTGCCTGAACCATGGCTTCCTTCATGACATCCAGGTTCTTGCATTTAGTCTCCTAGAAAGACAGCTGCTTCTCAACTTGTTCTTGGAGCTTCTCCCCAAATAGGCTTGTGGGGACCTCAGAGAGGCAGTCAGTTCTTGAGGCAATACTGCATTTGTTTGCTAGGTATTGGGAAATATGGCCTTTGTTCTTTGCAGCTGCTCTGCCAATGAAGGTGGAATGAAAAATGAGTCCATATTTTGGTATGTTACCCCTTGTCTTCAGGGCCCTGGAAGACAAGGTCCCTTTTTGGTCCCCTTTTCCTGGGTCTTGGGAATCACTCAGACACCAGGAGCGGCCATCACCCGCATAGCAGAGGCCTGTATAGACCAGGGAGAAGATATTTTATTAATTTGAGTATTTTTTGACCATGAGACATGTCAGCTCCTAGCAGCACCCATTTTCTACTTCGAAGAAGATGATGAGCGTCAAAAGTTGTTCTTTAGGGTTTGGCTTCATATGTGGCAAGCTAGCCACTTGGCAAGGAATGCCCCTGCTTCTACTGCAGATAGAATAAATGGACAAACTGGATGGAGGAAAGTCGACTGCCGAGCTTCGCAAGGACAGGGTAGGCAAGTCCTTCGTAATACCTGCTTTACAGAAAAGTCTGTCAGACAGTCTGAGCCAGAAGGCTGAAGATGATTCTCCAATACTGTAGAGATATCTTGGGTGACTGTCCAGGCAGCCAGCAATCCCTGACATTTCTATAGTTTTGATAGCTGCTTGCTTTGCACTTTCTGTTTATTCAGATAATATTAATCCTTCTCAGGTCTCTGATGGGGTTGAAGACTAAATAGTTTATAATCTTATAATTATCATAAAGTTCTTTAGGATTTAAGAGATGTTTTAGATCTAAAAGGGTGGTTTTGGATTTGTATTGCAAGTTTTGATACAAAGTGATTTAGGAACAGAACTTTGGACTCATTAAGATAGGATAGATAGTATAATGCTTTCTTCAACATTGATAATTACATATGGATTAGACATTGTGAATGTAATTTTTACCTGATAGTATATATTTTATTGTTGTCAGAGGGAAAAGTCTCTTATTTAGACAAAAGGGGGAAATGTTGCAGGATATTTGATCCCATTGTGAACCCCAAAATTGTGAACTGTAAAATTCTGTTTCTTTGCTGTGGTTGAGCCCTATCACATACTTTTAATCCAAGAACTTTGTTTATTGTAAACCAGTGATTATGGTGTGGTTCACCCAGCCCTAGCACACACCTTTAATCTAAGAGCTTTCTGTACACAGGATTTAATAAAGTTAACCCTAGGTCAAGAGGCAGAGCAAGAAACCAGTTGACAGGGATTAATGAGTAGGAGGGACTTTGAGTTGAGGGGTATTAAAGACAGTGTGGAGAAGAAAGAGAATTTAGCTCAAGCTCTGGCTTTAGCTTAGGCTTCAGCACCTCAGCTCCCTGCCTTTTGGGGCTTTGAGCTAGTGAGCCTTTTGGGTTTTTTCCGTCCAGACCTGAGCTTAGAAGGAAGGTCAGCTGGGTGCTTTCTCTGCCTCTTTGAGCTAGCAGGTTTTCACCCCAGCATCTGGCTCCTGAGTCTTTATTGGTAAAATAGAGATTTTCCTTCTTTTAAACAACACTTCTCCCTGTCTCCACCAGATGCTCTGGGGAGGCTTGGTCCACTGCAGTCCCTGAGAGTGAAGGACCATTTCTAGCGTGGCTCAGGGTCACATAAGCAGGGCCCACCAAGTCTGAGTGGTACATAGAATAAAGGCAGGAATCACGTGGGAGTCTGGGTGTAAACTGCTTCATATGTGTGTGTTAGGCATTGGAGGGACCAGGTGACACAGGAGGACCAGCGTGCCCATTGGGGGACAGTAGAGAATCAGGCAGAGCTCTGAGCTCTCCCATTCACAGGCAGATTGCCAAAGTGCCTAGAGACCGACATTTTCACTAAGATTTAAATCTCTTGTAGTTCAATAGTTGTGTAAAATACAGTGAACGTGAATTACTAGACAAATTAAAACTCAAACTTCAGTTCCAAGGGATCCAGCTCTCTTGTAGCCACCTTGGACACCACGCACCCACGTGGTACATAGACATATATGCAGAAAAAAATACCCATACACATAAAAATAAAATTGAAACAGCAGAGCACTGGTTAACAAATTCTCAAGTGATTTCACACATCCAAGCAATGATGTGTGAAAGTCTGAGTTTCCCCAGGTACCCAGAAGTATGTGTGGGCAGTCTTGTCTTATTTTGGCCATTTAGTGAACAGGGAGCTATCTCAGCTGCTCTTAATTTGCCACTTTCCCAATGAGCAAGTTTCCATGTATTTTGTGGCTATTCCTGTGTCCGAACGTTGTGAATTCTGTTCAAATCTCTGTCCACTTTAATTTTTTTTTGTCCTCTATTCTAAAAATGAATTTTTGGACTTATTATTTTTCTACATGCCAGTTCTGGTACCATATTCTGTCAGATACATATTTTGTAAGTCAGATGGTTGCAAGCATGTCTACTCTAGCCACCCATCGATTTGTCAAACGTTAGGTCAGTATAAAAACTGTTCTTTAAGCCCAGCGGTGTTGGCAGCACTTTGGGGGCCAGCTATTTGAGACAAAGCTGTGGCCATCTTTGTGTCCAGCTTCCATTTTGTTTCTAAAGTGAAATTAAGTTCAAAATTTTAAACTTTTCAACTTTGCTTCCTGGAAGTGGCTGTTCCTATGGTGATTCAATAATGTCATAACTCATACTTTGTTATCTATTCGCTTGGCTACACTCTGGTCACACACTTCTCTACACACCTGATAAACTTTGGATGTACTGTAGAAGACCCTAAGCCCTGCCTCACTGACCTCACTTAGGACCAATCAGCTTAAAGGTTAATACTTTCTCTAGTTAGCCAAAAGCATACTATTGCTTTGTATGGTTAGCCAAAAAGTGTTACTGCTCTCTCCCATGTCTTTTGCATTTGGTTCTTTCTATAAAAACCCTGCAGTGAGAACTTGTAGCTGTCACAGTTGGGCTCCCAAGTCCTTACTGTGACCCTAATCAGTTATCTTGGAAAAGGTGTTCCAATAAACCATCCATATGTAACTGAGAACAGAGCCTGAGTGGTTTGTGTGGCTATGCTTACACTAGAACAGCACTTGGAAGGCAAAGGCTGGCAAATCTCTTGAGTTCTAGGCCAGCCTGATCTACAGAGTGAGATCCAGGACAGCCAGGGCTACATGGAGTAACCCCATCTCAAAAAATAAATAAATAAATAAATAAATAAATAAATAAATAAATAAATAAATAAATAAATAAAACCAAGCAAATGTAGTTTTATAACAAGACTATTGGTTTAAGAATTCCACTTTGATTTCCATTTCAAAGGTTATTTTATTTGGGGTATTCTATGTCTTTGGTGTTGATATTAATAACTATTGGATCTATAAATCAATTTAGAAATAAGTGATATGTTAATAATTGACTATTCCAATCAATGCAATTGATTTTTTTTTTCCTCTCTGTGTAGCCCTGACTGTCATAGAACTCACTATGTAGACCAGGGTAGCCTTGAACTCAGAGATCAGCCTGCCTCTGTCTCCCTAGTGCTGGGAATAAAGGCTTACATCACCTTGCCTGGCTCAAGGTTCAAAAAGCTTTAAAGCACTGATCTGTGTCTCTGGCAGCCTATTTCCCTTTTAAGAGTGTGAGTCAGTCTGGACCTCACACCTAGGTTCTGCTATTCTGAAGACAATGAGCCATCCCTGGCCTACAAACAGCTGTTACAGCACCGGCACTAGATTCCCCCAGCAGACTTGACGGGAACTGACTGTGTCACAAGAGCCTGTGATGTAGGCTTAAGTAACTGCAAACAAAAAGTACCTTCAGAACAAGCCCTTGAAATGCTAAAATGTTAAACCTTGCACATAGCTCACGCCTTTAATCCCAGCACTCAGAAAGCAGAGGCAGGCGGATCTCTGTGAGTTTGAGGCCGGCCTGGTCTACAAAGTGAGTCTAGGACAGCCAGTGCTACATAGAGAAACCCTGTCTTGAAAAAGAAGAAGAAGAAGAAGAAGAAGAAGAAGAAGAAGAAGAAGAAGAAATGCTAAAATGTACAGTTTGTTAACAGGAAAAATTCTGCCAGGCATTTTTAAAGGTAGCACACACCTTTAACCCCAGCACAAAGGAGACAGAGTTGGATCTTGGTGAGTTCAAAGACAACCGAGGGTACAGGACAGCCAGGGCTACCAAGTGAGATTCTATGTCTCTAAATAAATAAATAACACTGTAGAGCAATTTTAATTCAGAACATGGCTGCTCTGGCAAGAGATCACATCCAAAGAGAAGCCCATTGAATCAGTCAGCTGAAAGAAGAGTTTGAGCCAGAACGACTGAGTTGAACCAGCCAGCCCAGAACTCAGAACTAGAAAGGGTGAGCTTATTTAGCAGCAAGTCTCAGAGGCTGAAAATATTCTAGGCCTAGGTTAGATTGTATAGAGTCTAGAAGCTTCCAGGACTAGGCCTAAGTTAGTAGACAGAGACAGTAAGCCTCCGAGACAACAACTGAAAAAGGCAAATAAAACTTCCTTTTACATAAAACAGAAAACAAATGGGTTTGTTAGGCTGCTTACACGGTGCTCTCTTTTCATGAAGCCACTGGGACAAAAGGACTCCCCGATCCCAAATTTCAGATTAAAAGACAAAGATAGTATAGCTTTGACTTAGACACTCAAATTAATAAAATGCAGGATATTAACTGTTAACTCTCAAACCCGAGACAAGAAGCTGAGGCGCTTCAATGTGGACCTGGCTTCCAGGTTCTCCCAGCATCCCTCAGTCCTTTACCCTGCCCTCTACCCTGAACTCTCCAGCACAGGGGCTGGGCTGCCCTTCCCTCAGAGGCTCTTCCCTATATAATCCAGACATTTTGGTTACCCACCTCTTTTGTTCCTTTGGCCTCCCACCTCTCCCCACAAGGCTCAGGGTCATGTCCACTCTGGACTCTCCCAGATGTGTCTGCCTCCGGCTATGCTCTTCTATGTATCTATAATAAAGTCTCTCCTTCACCACACCTAAGAGCATTCATGTCTTTTCTTTTCCTTTTTATTTCTTTTTTTCTTTTTTCTTTTTCATTATTAACCATTTTGACACCTTCTCAGGAACCCATGCTCATGGTAAAAATCTACATATGGAAAGATCTTAAAATCATCAACTTAGAGAGTTTTGGGTCATAATTGTTCCCCGCAAAAATAGGATGATAGTTATATACTAAAGGGGACATTAGTATATTGGAGCCAAGGCAGCTGAAACCATAGCTGTACATGCGGCTTTGCCCAGAGAAATACTTTTCAATGTGCCTTGATTCCCTCTGTCTCAGTGGTGGGTTTGTCCCTGTCTACTATAGA